GCGCCCCCTGGGGGCCGTTGGAGGGAGTTTCAGCCCGGCCGCCATTTTATTTCCTTGCTCGCCTCGCTGCGAAATTGACATTAAAACATCTACTGAAATGAACCGTGAGAGTGCAAATATGAGAGGGAACCGGCTGTTCCTGAGCACTGCCAGCCTCATCTGGATCTCCAGCCTATCACAGAACATGTTTCTTGAAAGAGACCACAGTGGTGGCCCAATCTCCCTGCTCAGGCAGGGTGATCCCAGAGCACAAGATTGCCGTGAGATGGTTGTGGGAATACTCCTGTAAGGGACACTCTGCAGCCCTTTTGGGGCAGTATGTTTTGTGTGTGGTCATCAGCACAATAAAGAAGTTCTTCCTTATACTCAGGTAGAATTTCCCGTGCGTCAGTTTCTGGCCATTGCCTCTTGTCCTATTGCTGGCACCGCTATGAAGAGCCTGGCTCCATCCCCTTGAGATATCTAAGGGGGATATCTTGATATCCAAAAAGATATAAAGAATATCTTGATATCTAAAGCCCTACTTTAGATATTTACACGCGGTCATGAGGTGCTCTCAGTTGTCTCTTGGACTATTCTTTGCCCAGCCCCGGTGATTGGGCCGCACTGCTGCCCCTCACTTTGAGGGCTCTCGGCTTTGACAGTGCTTAGAAAAGTTCTCCATCTAAGTAGGCAAATTACCTACTGTCCCAAATTCTTTATTCCTCCAGCAATGAGGGATGACAGGACAGCCACACAGGTTTTCCAGGAGTAGCCTGAGGATCAGAAGTCCTTGGGGCTGGCCATCAGCTCCGCTGCCAGGCTTTCCTCATCTCCACTGAGCAGCTGGGCTAAAGCAGCATTTTTTTTTTCCCTAAAATATCTCCTAAAGGCTTTTTCACTTTAGTCCATCCCATGGGTCCGAAGAATGTGGCAAGAGGCAGTTTTGGAAGCAGTCCTGCCATGTGGCAGTTCCTGCCCTTTCCCAGCCATTTCAGCCAGGAGGAGCCCAGATCTTGCATAAGCAGAGGCAGTTCTGCATTAAAACCTTTTTTTTTAATTATTATTTTTTACCCACAGGAGGGGAGGACACACAGAGACTGCGTGCTTCTGTGTGCCTGAACAATGCTCCAGGTCCATTTCCACACCTTGTACTGCAGGAAAAGGCACTTTCCTTGTTCTCATTGTGTGATCCTAGGCACTGGTATGCTGACCCAAGAGGTGCAAGCAATGACTCCAGGGATCAGTTTTCTTTTTCTGGAAGAACACAGCAAGCTGACTGTATTTTCTGAAGATCAGACTTTTCTGCTTTCCTGCCAATGCCTAGAGCTGAAAGTGGAACTGATGTTTTGAAAGCTCCTTAAGACAAATTTCCCTCATTTCTTTAGTTTTATAAATAGAGGCTTTTGGCTTTAAGAATTTGATGACTCCTTTCCAGTGAAAACTCCTGAAAATGAAAGGCCCCATAGAATTCAACATGTTTTAGCAAGAATTACTCATTTTGTAGGAAAAGACTCGCTTTAATCTTCTAGATAGTTCTGCCATTTAAGGGCTGTGCTCCTCTGATGGTGCTCTGGCATTTCTACAGCTATATATGGAGTCTCCTTGGTGCTTGCTTGTGTTATCCTCAGAGCTGAGCAAAGGCCAGGCCAGGAAGCCTTTGATTGTAAATCTCCCCAGGCCACCTTGGTGCCCTTCCTGAATGCAGCAAATGGGGAGAAAAGCAAAATTTCTGTTGTGTAGGCTGTGGGAGCTGACTGCCACAGGTAGGGCAGAAGCCCGGTTGTTCCCCATTTACAAGGTGAGGATATTAATCATTAAACTTCACAAGTCATAAATATGCATATCTGATGGCTAAAAAAAAATTCTTTGCCTTGGCTGAAGAGAGTCCCTTTCCTGTGGATTCATTATCTCTGGGGCAGATCACAACAAAACTTGACAGTCTTTATAGACTTTCTGTAGGTATCTCACAAACATGGCACATTTTTGTTTATTTTTCAGTCTGTTTTCTTAGCCATTTGAGACTGACTTCCTCAACAACTGTCTTTACCTTGAGGTACAGAGCTAGCCAAAAACAAAGGGAAGTAAAATTAGGAAAGGAAATTTACAGTGTAATTAGATTTTTCTTTCTGCCTTTCTGTCTTTCTTTCAGAATCAAACTGAAAGTTTTAATCTGTTTCTATTATTTATTCCTTTTCATTTCTTAAACGAAGGTGTTTTAATGGATGGTTTTCTGTTGGATAGATTGGTCTTAATGTTGCAATCTTCAATAAGTTGGGTTTTTTTTTTAGTAATTTACATTTTTAAAATGTAGAAACTCTCTCTTGACAGCCCTGCACAGAAGTCACTCTACTGCAGTGCTCAGAACATATTGGTGGGAGTCTGCTACAGTTCTCTACTACAGAATTTGTCTTTATCTTTAAAGATATGGTGGATTTAACTTTTAGTTCTGTAATTTCTCAGTCGTGTCCCTGCTTTTGGTAACAGGGCTTGCAGTCACTTAGCTGGATGCTTGCCTTGACCAGGAGAGAGGGGATTGCTGGAAAAGCTTCACTTCCACTTTGATGAAAGTCAGTGAGGCTGAAGTCATGTAGTATTTGCACACAAAATGAAACCTGGGGTTTTGGGGGGAACACACAATGTTGTAAAACGGAAACTTGTGAAATGGTGACAAATGTATTTGTTATCTGCAGCCTTAGGTTAGACAGGTTTACTTCCTACAAAAGATCATCTGAGGATGGGGACGTTGAAGTCACAGAATCTGAAAAGATGTGGTGACTCAGACAGTTTCAAGAAGCTTGTGGGAGCAGTGTAGCTCAGTAAAATTAACTTCCTGCCAGCACAGTTACTGCCACTGTTTGTCCATTACCAAGTGTGAAACCTGAGGAGAGTGTCAAAAGTTCAGGTGCTGAGGGGTTCAACAGGGAATAACCAGGGTTGTGGGAAAGGAAAGAAGGGAGAGGAAGTCACAGCAGGCCCCTAGAATTAAACCAAATGTACTAATTTGATAAGTAAGGGAGGGAGAGTTTCCTCTGGTTCAGCTGGATCAAAATTCTCAATTTCTCTGCCTGCTGGTGCCATATTGCCTGTGTGGAGACATAAAATTGTCTCCAGCATAGTCTGTTCCTTTCCTCACTCATTGCTTTGCCTTTGCAGCTCAGAAAACTGCTGCCTTCCTCTCCTGCCCTCACTGTTCCTCCATATTCCTCTGAAATATTTCCCATTACCTTTCTCCTACCAATTTTCGGGTCTCTTGCTACACACTCACAAAGTCACAGTCCTTTTCCCTACTCTCCCTATGCTGCCTTTAGCCCCTCATTGCCTGAGGTGGAACAAGGTGCTGGTATCCAGAAGTGCCACCAAAAATGGGGAGTGTGGGGCTGGATAATGTACATCCAGTGAGTGGGAATCATTCTGGCTTCCAGAGAGCTCCCTCTTTAGATCTGTTTGGCAAAGAAAGCTGCTTGTATTGCACACAGGGGACGTGACTGATGGGATGTCTGTAACAGTGCTGGAAAGAAAAATCCTCTGAGCCCTCAGCCATCCTTGCAGTGCAGAAGCTTGGTCTATAACTCTTCAATGATTTTGTCTGTCTCTGTCATAGGACATACACCTCCATCAAACTTACATAAATGTTCTTTGTAGAAATTGATATGATTAACTGATTGACAAAGTGTCACGTCCCCGTCTGTTCTGAGAAAATATGGGGACTCAGAGATTATTTCCTCTCTGAACTTTTTCTTACCTGAAAGCAGAAATCCTGTTAAAATGTATTAAGACACAGTTGGACACATCTTTCTGTTCTACTTTGCCAGTGATTTATGGGGAGACGTGGAGTTTTGTGCTTTGAATAATCAAGTGACAAACTAAACAAGGAAACTGCTGTCCACTGAAGCAATGGGTGAGTCAAAAGGTAGCCTGCATGATGGGCTGGCCTGTTCTTTCATGTCTTCCGTGGAATATTTTGCATTGAGATCTCCAGAATTTTCTGTCATTGCTCAATATGTTTTTTTTCCCCCACCTCCTGCTTCTACCACGGTGTTTGATAGGTTGGGACAGGCTCTTGGGGTTACGTATGCAAGGCACATATATATACCTGCACATAAATACACACACACACACAGATAACAAATATATTGTTTGTGAGCAGCAGGCATCACTGCCAGCTGTCCTTTGCTGTGACAACACACCTGGAGAAGGTAGGACATCAAATGCCAAGTGCTGTGTAGAGGGATTTGGTGCTGGCATTTAGCAGTTATCTCTGGCTAGCACAGAATTAGGATTTTCCAGGGGTTTGAAGGGAGGGTAACCATGTTAAGATGAAGCTGTCCTTTGGGATCAAATGGGGTATTAGTTACACAATGCAGCAGCTGCTGCTGTGCTGTTCTCTGGAGGTGTTGAAGGGAAAGGCAAAAAGTTTGTATCAGCAAACGTGGGAAGGGTGGGTGTGATGTAAAGCAGTTAGATGAGCTACATCAGCTGCCCTGCATGTCACAGCTCCAACTCTTCTGTCTGCCAAGTGGTTGGCAGCACAGGCTGGTGTTTTAGCTAACCCAGTTTTTGTGCACTCTTGTTCTCTCACTTTTGCTGTTTAGAGTTGGTTTGGCTCATGCTTGATCACTAAGTATTCTGCAGAGATCAGAAATTTCATCTGTCATTAGAGTTCTGGGTAATCTGAATATCCAATGATTTGGATGCTTATGAATAGGATGTTGTAACCTTAAGTGCTAAAGCATTTTCATATTTCCACTGATTTTGATGTAGCTAGGAAAATTTCCACAGCAAAGGATAGGTATTTTTAAATCTCATCCAGCATCTTGAAAAGTGAGTCTTTGGGCAGAGAGGTATTACTTGAAGTTCTGAAAGCCATCCAGGCATTTTTGATACAGGCTTTTTGTTAAGATCAGTGGCAGCAGGTTCACTGCTTGACCTTGAAAAATCTCAGCACCAGAAGGTGCTCATCAACATTTGGGCCAATAATCTAAGCACAGGAAATGCAGGGAAAGGTCATCCACCTGTCTCTATATTCATTCATTTAGTAAGAAAACATAGTTCAGTGCTTCTTTTCAGGATATTTCTGTTTGCTTTAAAAGCCCACAGGAAGAGCAGGAGTCAGCCTTGAGGTTTTTTTTCTGAAATACAGCACTCTGTTTAATCAAAGACTAGAGGTTGTACCTGCAAGTGATGTTTTTATACTGTTTGTTTAGAGGCTAATAAAGATTAACAAAGCCTAATAGACTCACACTATCATTTTGACTAATGACTACTAATTTCTGTAGCTAACATTCTGCTGTATTACATGAATGGTTGTAAAAAATGGCCCTGCCTCATTTGTTCTGCTCACCCTAAAATTTATTATTTTGCAAGCAAACATTTACTACTCTGTTCTACACAATGAGGAGCAGTTCCTCAGTCCAGATTTGGATTGTCTTTTTTAAATCAGAAGAGCTGACCTCTGTCATCCCCAGGTTTAGTCCTCAAATTGCCCACTGTCCAAGTGTTGCCTGAGGTAAATTCTCTCATAGAATAAGAGGCTCTCAGAGAATTAATTCATGGTCCAGTTACTTTTACAAAAAGTGAAGGATTTTCTATGGATTCTTCAGCTTCTCATTTCAAGATTTAGGGATGAGGCATTTAAGATCTTGAGAAAGCTCAGGGGAGATCACGGGATGCTAATGCAGTGAAAGGACTTAGATCAGATGGTAAATATGCTAACTAGGGGAATGTGCAAAGAATAGAGAATCAAATCCATTTAACCTACTGGCTCATGGCTTCCCTCTAAAGCTTTTAACCTCAGTCTGATACACTTGGCTGCTTTCCCTTAGAAATTTTAATTGCTGGAAAAGACGTGCACACACTCTGCTCCACCTGTGCAGGAGGATTGATCCAGTCTGGCTCAGTACCATTGCTGAGTGCAGTACAGGAATATACAGCTGTGTCTGGTGCCTGCTCATAAACAGGGCTGTGGCCAGGCAGAAGGTTAAACACAAGGTGGAACACTTGCTGTCTGAGAAGTGACGGTTCATGACACATAAAATGCTCCATTGCATCTTTTGTTTGAAGATTTCCAGGTAATTTGGAAAAGAGTTTAAAACAACACACAGTCAGGTTCAGCTGGGAGGTTTTCAAAACATACAAATTAACATTATTGACTCAACACACTCTGTTACAGTCAGGGGTGCTGGTTGAATTTCTTGAAAATATTTATTGATTTAAACCTTCATTTTTGAAAGCATTGGTTTTTTCATACTATCTTTGGATTTCAAGACCTGTGTATAAATTCAATTCTTTTTCAAATAAATGCTAGAGTGAAGTGAGAACTGGTGAAAAGTTAAAATAGTTTTATCAGGCACTGTGAATACTCTGCACACCCAAAAACCAAGTCTTGAATGTTTGTTCTTCACTGTGGCTCAAAGTGTGACAATTGCTCTCCACTTCTTTTCCTGGGGAGCAGCAGAATGAGAAATTCTTCTTCATACATGTTTTGTCTCCCTATGTAAAGTGCAGCTGGTCTCCAGGTTGTTTTCTTCCTTTGTTTTGCTCTTAAATCTATCTCTGTCTGTTGCTCGTGTTATTGCAGCCGTGAAGGCCAATGGCTGTAAAAAGGGAGGGTTTGGAGGGAGAGACAGCATTTTTCATCTGGACAAAAGTAAACAAGTTGTTAGGCACTTAAATTCTTTTTCAGCTCTGAAATGTCTACAATACAACAGAAAATTGAATTTTCATTTCCAGCGTTATCTTCTGAAGATTTTTCTCTTGGTTGCCCTTGAGGGTCAAGCTTTGCGGATCACTTGAAGAGTGGGTTTATAACAAATGAGGGCTCTGTGTGGTTGAGCAGTACAATGTGTGGTTGTTTGTTTTCTCACAGGGACTGCTGCTGGCCTTCAGCTTTGATGGGAGTAACAATCAACTGGTGCCTAACTGAGACCAGCATCCTCGGGTGCCTGGGGCAGGGATTTTGAGTCCCAAAGAGCTTCCTGTGTGGGGCAGCCTTCCAAATACTGCATCATTATGGCATGTGAAGCATTTCTTTAACTTTGCATCCTGGTTAGTTTTTTCACTGTACTGATTGTGATCACCTTGTTAGCACTGATGGGAGCGATTTGCCTACTGAGATTTTAGTCATTATTTCTCCCAGCAAGGGGTGGTGCAAATCTTTAACATATTAAAAAAGACCTAGGACATCACTCTCTGGTGTTTTTAGTGGGGGGATGAGAAACATCTGTCTTGAATGTTACAAGGAAAAAAATACCTCAGCATGCAATTTCATGTGTGAATCTGTGGTGTTCAGCAAGATGGAATGTGAACTCTTGGGGAAGATCATATCATTCTCCAAAATGAGGCAAAAAGGGCAAAATAACTATCATAGGAGTGTGAGTTGTGGCTTTCTAAAACATAATTTATTCCATTTTTCTGTTGGCCTTTGTTTCATCTTGCTTTTTTTTGGGGTGGGGGAGGGAAATAACTTCATGCCAGAAAGTGATTGAATTAAGACTGTCATTCATGTTGCAACACGTTATGAAAATATCCTAGAGAGCCTAAAATAGACCAGAGAGAGACACAGAATAGCCAGATGTGTGACTTCAAAGCTCTGGTAAAAGTCAGTGGGGTCACTTGTTTTGATTTCACTCAGATCTACAGTGATGTTAGAGCCTTGAAAATGCAGTGATAAGTGCTCAGCTAGAATTGGGTGAGGCCTCAATTCTCCTGGGAATGCCACTGTTCCTACCCACCCCTGCTGAATAAGAAGAAAATTTTCAAAGTCAGGATTAAATTTACTTTTTATACTTACTTTAACTGTCAGGAATTCTTCTGAAAAGACACGCCTCATCTGAGAAAACCAAGAGTTTCCAGCAGTTCCCTACAGAATCCTCAGTGGAAAAAAATTATCCTGGAGACATCATCATGCCTTTTCTGCTGTGCTTGAAAAAGAAGAAGTCACCTGTGCCTTTAGGCAGGAGTATCTTTCAAAAACACACCCCTCCCATCCAGCAGAACTACCAGGCTTTGCTGGAATCGTGCTTGAAGAACAAATGCTTGTTCACAGATGACACCTTCCCTGCTCACATCAGCTCCATTGGAACAGGAGCCCTGCTGAAGAAACTGCCCCGAAATTTACACTGGAAGAGGCCACATGTAAGTGACTTTGAGTGAGCACTGTGTGGAAGAGGATGATTACACATGATAGCCAGCAAATAGTTTTAGCATTGAACAGGCTACTCTTGGACTTTAATTTAGGTGTACTTTAATGTCTCTGGGGATTACATTTATTGCATCAGGTGTCATTTTGGAAGCTGGGGTACATGGAGTCTCATAATTGCCTTTGAGGCATTTGTTGCCCAAAATCATGACCAGCTTTGTTCAGTTTATATCCAGTAACACTTGGAGCAGGCAGGGAGAGGAGGCAAAGGGAGCAGGGAGAGTTGGTTTCCTTGGAGCTCACAGCTACAGGGATCTCACTGTGATTCTGTGGTGACAGATGAGATCCTTCTCCCCATAGTTCAAGATCATGACCTTCTAGAAGATTTCTGAGTTTCTAGACAGTTCTTAGCCATGACCTCTCTCTCCCATGGACTGTTATGATGCTGGAGGCTGCTGCTTTCCCAGACAGGCCAAGTGCCTTATCCTCTTGTTGGGCTGGGGTTTTTTTCCTACTGAACTGTTTAGTCTATTGTACTTGGAGTAATCTTTCCTCAGCCCTCAAGGCTGAGCTGCTATCACAACCAGTGACTGAGCATCAGTCAGTCTGTGAGTTGGTTTTAGTTTTGGGGCCTTTGTTTTTTACTTGTCCTCGCATTTCCAAGGCCTTTGCTGGCATTCCAAGCTGAAACTGAACATCACAACAGGAGACACCCAGGTGCAAGGGCTGGTCACAGAGCACGTTCTCATAACAAAAGGGTAGATAACAAGTGTGGGAGGCCAGGACAGGGGCCTGGCACAGTTAGATAAGGCCTGTTATTATCAATGCCAGTTCTGCTCTTACTGAGCCACTGAGCAAAGTATTGACAATCAGATCCTCCTGAAAGCAATGTACAGAACTATGTATTCAGAATTTCAGAAGCCCTTTGTCTACAGGGAATTCTGCCAGGTAATATCAGATATCATCTCCCAGCTAAGTTATTTTCCAGCTGTCATATTTTGTGAGATTTAAACAATTTCCCAGAAGGATCGAGTTTCTGAAAAAAAAAAAAAAAGGTCAGCATGAGTCCTGGCCTCTACAAAGCCCTTCAAGCATCTCCCCATCCCTCAGATATTGGAATGGGCTTGAAACCTTTTCTGTCTCTCAGTGAACTATTCTGCTGCTCTGCTATGATTGTTGGGGCGTCCTGTGTAGGTCCAGGAGTTGGACTTGATGATCCTGATGGGTCCCTTCCAACTCAGCATGTTCTGTGATTCTGTGAGTCTAAAACTGCCTTGTGAAGAAGGCTGCTGTTTGCTCTGGATGCCAAACTTTCTGAGCAAAGACTCTCTGGGAATGGATGCTGTGCATCTTTCAGTCCCTGTGCTGCTGAGGAGATGCTGAGATTCTGCCATTCAGCCTGCAGGCTTGTGGCTTGCTGCATCTGTGAGTGATGGCCTGCAAACTGAACACCCAAACTCACCAAGGGCAGGGCTTGGTGTCTAATTACTATGACTGCCTTCTGAGGGAAGCTTTTTCTTTGCTGCTGCCTGCAGGAGAAGCCAACAGTGTGAAACTTAGCTTGAGCAATTTTTGGATCATTCGAGTAAAACATAATTTTGACACTTAGGTTATTAATTTAACCCCAGAGGCACTTGTGAAGGGAAAAAAATCACCACACCATTATCTCTCTCTGTACAATTATTCACAGACCTATTCTTGTCACAGCAACAGGAATTCTGCTGCAGCCATCAGTCTGTAGCTCAGTTGTCAGTCAAGCTGGGGAGATGTCAGCTAGCTTGGGTGAAAGCTTGATGCTCTGCCCTCATAACCTCTTTTGGCTGGCACTTGTGTGGAGGAGCAGGACTGGCAGCCTTGAAGGGCTGTCTTCTCAGCATGCTGACCATGGAAAGCCATGGTGATGCATCTGAGCACCAGTGACTTTGGGTGGAGACCAAATTCAACATAGACCAAGCACAAATGTGTGCCCAGGCTGGTGTCAGGTTAGCCAGAGCACATAACAATGGATTTATACCTGAGCCAGAACAATGTCTGCTGGGACAAAGGACTCTCAGTATTTTAAAAGTTTTAACTTTCAAGCTAAATCAGCTCATGTTACTGGCTTAACTCTCTCCTTATTTTTTTTTTCTTTCCTTTTCATTTTGTGCTTCCCAGGCCTTGCACAAAAGTCCTGTATTTTATGCTGCACACAGAAAGCAGCCTGATCTCTGCCAAGGATTGGTGGGTAAGGAAACTCCTTTGTATAAATATCTAAGTATTCTTACACAAGATAACATTTTGCATGGAAGTTTGAATGTATAAAACTTGGCATGAAAATACAAGGTATCCATCTCCTGTCTCTACTTGGCATAGTGTGGATGAAGCAATCATTTACTGGCATAGGCTCAGTAAATAAGCTGGCAAGCTTTGAGGTGGGATTTGAGGCATAAGAGGTGTCTCCACAAGCTGAAATCACCACTGTGTGTTGCTTCTGCCCCTGCTAATTGGAAGTGTTCCTGTGCTCTTACTGGTCTGTGGTGTTGCTGCTTGATAATTGAACAGAAACCACAGAAGGGCTTTATATTTGTACCTAATGCTCAGTGTGAGTGTGTTCTCTTCTCAGCCTTGCTGTTAGAAAAATAATTTTATGCCTGCATTGTCTAAAATAAAAGACTATATTGCCATCTGAAAAACAGGTAGAAGTGAGACTAAATTAGTTTTTAAGTGCTTTATGTCCTTAAAACCAAAGTTTGCTAAGTACAGTCTTGCATGTGAGATCCACTGGAAATTGTTTTCCTTTCTGAAAAGCTAATGTTTTCAAAGAAAAATGGAAAAGTTTTTTTTTTTTTTTTAAATAGTGTGCCTTTACAGAGAACAGAAAAAAACCCATGCAATGTCAGTAAAACACAGAATGTTTCCACTGACAGTTATTGCTTGCTAAATTTCTTATTTAACCAAACAGTACCCAAATGAAAAGATCATGAGAGAGCAATTACAAACCAATCACGGTTTGGTTAAGTAAAGAACATGTCTGGATCATCTAATTTTGTGTGTATGATTTGTTAGAACTCTAAAGACATCAGCACAACAGCTCCTGTGCTGGGATCTTGGTGGTGTTGCTGCACTTGGCTGAGAGCTGTCGCTTTTCAGCCAAGTGCCTGTGTCCGTTTGTCTTGGCGCAGAGAACTGCTGGTTCCTGGCGGCCCTGGAAGCCCTGACATTCCACCAGGACATCTTGGCTGCAGTGGTGCCACAGAACCAGAGCTTTGAGAGGAAATACGCGGGCATTTTCCACTTCCGGGTACGGCTGCTCCCCCGGGCTGCAGGAGCTCCTCAGATATCCCCTGCTCTGTTTTGTGTCACACCCCTGCGTAATTTGTATGTGGTTCCCTTTGGCCAGGGGCAAGTGGCCAGAGGGTATCCCAGGCTGGAGAGGAGCCCATCACCCCTCCCACAAAGCAGCACAGGCAGTGAATCAACTGCAAGCCACTGAGGAAACACCTCTGCTTGGCTGCTCTCTCCAGCTGTGTCCTACCCATATTTTAATGCAAACAAAACCCTTTCTCAAGAGTGGCAACGGTCAGCAGGACCTGAGCACATCAGCTCCAATCTTCTACCCCTTTGCCCACCTCCTGGTACAACTCTGCTACCTTGCAGTCAGGAATTCCTTCCCCTCAAGTCACCTGTGGCTCATTTCCCTGACTCGTTTTACACCTGATAGATGCTTTGTTTACTCCTCTGGCTGGGTGGGGTGAGGAACTGGCTCTGTGGGTGAGTCAGCATGTCCCACTGACCCACAGCAGCCTGCTCTGTACCCACAGCTGGGCTATCTTGCCTTTCCTGTTGTTTCAAGGGGAGGTCCCTTCCAAGGGAAACATCAGCTCATTCCTTTCCCCTGACAGTTCTGGCACTTCGGGGAATGGATTGACGTGGTGGTTGATGATCTCCTGCCGGTGAACGAGGCTGGGGAGCTGCTCTTTGTTTCCTCAGTCTATAAGAATGTGTTTTGGGGAGCCCTTCTGGAGAAGGCATATGCTAAGTAAGTGACTCATTTCAAGTTATGCAAATAATCTCTCTAAAATATGTTGGTTGGTGCCTACGCAGTTTGTTCTTGTTTATAAATGCATCTCCTAGGCCTTGCTATGTTTTGAGTGTAGTAGATGGCTCTCATCTATCTATTATTACACATAAAAGCTGCCATTGCAGCAGCTGTTATCAAACCTGGCCCTTGAGTTTAAATCCAAGGGTTTAGGTGAGAAAACAGCCCTATTGTGGGGGATTGTCCTCTGAGTGTTATCATTGCTTGCAGTGGCTGAATGCCTTCCTGGTAAATATCACAGAGGAGTGGAACACCATAGATAGACATTTTCAAATGTGAATCATTTCCAAAGCCTCCTTTAATGTATTATCAGTGTGAGAAACCTCCAAGGATTTTCATTTTGTAGGTCTGCTGAAGCACTGCACTTTGTTTTGGCAGTTGTTTTTGCTCTCAGTTCCTCGAAGCTGAGGCCTGTCACAAATCATATGGCATGGTGAGAGCAGTGGCTTCCCTCCAGGGTGTTTTGCCTACAGTGGTAGTATCAGCACAGAGAACAAAGCAGCAAGGCCTAACTGGTGGAGTTTGTTAATATTTGGCTGAAATAATCTTTGCTCTAGTTAACATTGAGAGAAAGATCACCCAAAGGTGAGAATGTTCAGTTATTTTCATTTGGTATTAGTGTTAGAATGAAAAGACTGGGCCAAGTTGCACTGGAGTGATAAAGAAAATCAGATTAGAGGCTGAGCTCTCAGGACAGTGTCTCTCAAGGCACTATATCTTAGATACAGCTCAGAGCCTGGTGATAAATTCAGGCAACATTCTCTGAGGCAGAGTTATTAGAGAATCGTGATGGGTATGTTCTCATTACTGTGCAGTCAGGGATGACAGCTAGTGAAGAGTCCCTTTCAGACTATGACCAGTCTTGGAGGCAATTTTGTAGATTCTCGTCTTCCCAAATGCCAAAAAATTCCCTTAAAATGAAACATGAGTTACAGCCTTCCTTTTGCTTTTTGCACACTTTTTTTTTTTTTTTTTAATATTTTCGTTGGCAACCTGTTCTGAACCTGTCATCTGTGATGATGATAACCCAAAGAATATATTGATGTCTTTTTTGCTAGACTCTATGGCTCCTATGAAGATCTGCAGATTGGGCAGGTTTCAGAAGCCCTGGTGGATTTCACAGGGGGTGTCAATACAAGGATCAAGCTGGCAGAAGCTCCTCCTCATCTGTGGGAAATACTGACAAGAGCCACCTACAGCAGATCTCTCATGGGCTGTCAGACACACTTAGGGGTGAGGCTTGGAGTGGCATGAAATGGCTTTACAGCTAAAAACCTTTCCATTCCCCTTTCCCTCTGCTCAGCTGGTCATTGTGACTCAAAATGTATCAAAGCTGCCCTATGTGGCTTTCTGTAGAGGTCACATTCTTCATATTAAACTTTGCTCATGGATTGGTTCCCTGATGCTCTCAGCTCCCTGTTGTTATGTTTAGGAACTGGTTTATCTATCAAAGAAATTCTGTTAAATAGGTACCCACTGCATTTTCCCATTTTTGTTAAATAAATTTTCCATTTTTACAGGTGGTGCAGTGAGACACATATGGAATAAAGTTATAGCTCAGGTAGAGACATGGGTCGTTGAGAACATGAATTAAAGTCTTGGCTTCCAAGCTTTATGCTACCACCTCAGCTGTTGGGAAACTCTACTTTTCTGAAAATCAAAACCTAACCTCCTGAACTTCCTTAAAGTGACATGGTCTCTAGCTGAAGACCCACAATTTAGGAAGGGTCATTAACAATCAACCTTGCAATTCCAAGCATACTGAAAAATCTGGCCCTTAGGAGGTTCCATTTATTTATTTATTTTCAGTTCTCCTGTTAGTTTGAAAGTCATTGCTTGCACAAGTACAGGTCTCTGGTATTGGTATAAGTCTGCTGTATGAGTGGGGATAAAATAAAATGTTTCTTTTCCTTCTGTTTCTTCTATACAGGCAACAAAGGTCCTGAAGAATGGGCTTGTTGCTGGCCATGCCTACACAGTAACTGGTATCAGAAAGGTAAGACCAGCCCAAATGTCCTGGGCCCAGGTTCATTTGGATATGAGCAATTTTTATTGCATTCAAGCATTGATCAGAGCAACTATAATATCTCCTCACCAATACTCTTTTCTTAGTCTAAGGCTACAAGAGACTGTGGGCTTTGTTAAGATTCACACTTTAAGTGTGTCCATTTTAATTTGGAGGCCTCGATGTAAAGGACAATTGTTATGGATCAGTGTATATCTCCAAGGGTGGGAATGATTCATAGGGCTCTGCTGACACCATCCCCTAGAAATGCATCTCAGCTGCTAAGAATGAAAGGACTTGCCTTTGGGGCTGCTGGGAGGATGTGCTGAAACTTGGGGATGTGCTTTTTACTTGGGGTAAAAAGCCTTCCTCTGAAGCCAGTGGAGAGGCCATAGGAAGTAAGGATGTAAAGGCCAAAATATGAAAAACTGCAGATAGAAATGTGAGTCAGGGGTGTGGAGTAAGGGAACTGCCCTGTGCTCCTGTGCAGACAGTGCAGGGGGACCCCACTAATCTGCAGAAGTACTGTTGGAGTCCCCTTAGGATATTTGTCCAGAGGTAAGGGACTTGAAATAATACATCCCAAAGAGGAGGAGCTTCTTCCGCCTGAATTGGTGGGTGACTGTCTTGTCCAGCCTCAAGAGGAGGTTGACAAGGATGGCAAAGACTGTGTGGGGCTTTGGACATTTTGCTGAAAGCATGTTCAGTACCTGTAGCAAGAGATACTAGGAGGGGCAGAAGAGATGAGCTGGATGAGGCACATCTGTGTCTCTCACAGGAGGAGCAGGAGGAGTTTATGTGTGGAGTTTTTCAACAATATGTCTGTCAGTCTGGCTCCTCTGATGAGATGAAAAGCCAGGCAAGCTGAAGGGACTGACCAAGCACGTGGAAACGGTGTGAAGTCAGCTGTTCTGCAGTGTGCTGTCAGCAAACCCCTAACTGGGGCTCTCCTCCCACCACTTCAGGAGGCATTAATCTGTGTGGACACCCGTGGGGCCTGCATTGTGCTGTGCCATTGCACTGGAGTATGACTTCCACACAAGTACAAAATGAGCAGATGTTGGAAAGGAAGAGGAATTTACAGTCAAGCCTTTGGATTAAGAATCTGTCATGTCTCTGGTTTCAGTTTAGAATGTAAAATGAAGCACCTTAATCTCTTTGTTGCTGGCATTTAGAGTTGAATGTTCAAAGATTTTGATCATCATACTTGCTGGTATCTGTGAGAACAAACAAAATTGTTGTTAATATCTGACATAGTACAATGATATAAACCAGAGGAGAACTGCTGAGATCTTGGTAAGCACAATGTTACTGTTTTCTGCAGGTGACCTGTCAATATGGACCAGAAAACCTAGTGAGACTGAGAAATCCATGGGGAAAAATTGAGTGGAAAGGAGACTGGAGTGACAGGTGAGTTTCCAAAAGGAAAGGTGTGACACTGAGCAAAGGAAAGGTTTCTTGGAGGAAAGATGCTGCCATCTTCAGGCATGAATTAATGCTGAGGGCAGCAGTAAGATAACACTTGCACAGACCTTCTGGTGTCAAAGTAATAACTCCATGGATTTATATGTCTCCAACAGACAGTGCTGCTGTAGCTGGCCTCACTTCACATGCAGCCTCAATCAGATCAGTTCTGATTTCTCCTTTCACTAATGCCAGAGGAAATATAATATGAGCATGAGATGCTGACCACCTTGCTGTGAGGTGGAGACCATGCAAAGGGACACATAGCTGTGCAGGAGGCTCTAAAAAACTCTTATGTTTCAGGACACAGTTGTTTATCATGGGAGGGCCCAGGGAAATTCTTCCACAGGCTGCAAGGTGTTAGAATTGGATAAGTAGGAAGGAGTTCTCTTGGGTAAATACAGTGGGGCATGAGATCAGAGGAGGTAGTGAGGTAAATGGGCTCCATATTTGCACCTACCTGATTTATTTTTTTTTAATTGGGACCCATGAAAGACAGTGTTTTGCATTCTAGACCATGGGCCACTGTGAGCTTGTGTCCTGTTCCTCTTTGAAGTGGAGCATGTTTCTTGCTTCCAAGCTTCACTTCATTCCCTGCACACGCTGTTTGCTGAGGCTCAGGGCCTCAGCAGAAAGTAGAGAGGTCATGGGGAATGTGAATTGCTTTCACCTTGTCTGCAGAGCAGTAACTTCTCTGATGCATGTCTGTCACATAATGACAACACACCAGCTGTTCTGTTGAAGAGCATAATGAGCAACATACTGCAGGCCTGCCTTTGAAATGACTCCCAGCTGCCTCTTGTGCTGTCCTAGTCATTCATTCATTATGCCACACACTCTTCCTATTATGTCTCCTTTAACAGAAAATTAACCAACAAAGCAGGTCTAGATTTTTCTATTTTAAGTACTTGGAAGCTGTGTGTTCAAGTGAAGGGAGTGGCTGATGGAAATAGAACATTTCTGGCTTCTACTGCAGAAAACTGGACCCATTTAGCTACATCTCATGGGACCCAGGATGGTCATGGAGAGTCTCATGTGGCTGAAGGCATAGTGGGGGATAAATGGAGATATGTAAAAACAGGGATTTGGCCACTTTTTGTAGAGGAAGGTCATGTCCTCTGCCTTGAATTTGTGGCCACATTTGGTTCGTCACCTCATGTTCTTCCCCTTAGCTCTTACAAGTGGGAGCTGCTGAGCCCAAAGGAGAAGATTTTACTGAGGAAAAAGAAGGATGATGGAGAGTTCTGGTAATTATTGCACCCTCTTGCTTCTCCCATCTCCACCAGCAGCCCTGGGGCAGCACCTGGAGCTGCACATTGCCACTTAGGCCAAGGCTTAGATGATGAGCTTTAGCCTGTGCTCCTCTCTGCTTGATGGTGTGAGAAGCAGTGGCTGTGCTGGCATGGAATGCACTGCTCTTCATGCAGGAGTGAGGGACAAGCAGGGCATTGCTCGGTCACCTGGGGCTGCTGGAGATAAAGGGCAGCCCCAGGAGCTTTTGTCCTGGCTCCTTTTTATTTTTTTTTTCTTCTTCTTTTTTTATTTAACCATAGCTTCGGGAAGCTCCTGTTAGTCTGCGGTTTCTCCCCGGCTTTTGCCACGAGGTGGCAATGTTGCCGCCCCTGTAATTTCATTGCACTCCCTTTGCTGGCGAGATTATTTCATTCTCTGTTTCTCCTATCATTTGCTGAAGTTTTAGTCGTGCATTAGCTGCTCCTAGAGGCTGCTGTGGAAGCAGACGCTCTCTTCTTTACTGCCTAATAAAATATGAGCATTACCATATGTAACACAGAATGGTGTGGCTCCGAAGTTCCCCACTCCCTTTTCTTTACATTTTATGAACCATATGGACTAAACTAAACTGCTGACAAGATGTCTCTTGGCACTCTTTTCCCAGGATGTCTCTGCGAGATTTTAAGATCCATTTTGTAGATCTGGTGATCTGTAAATTAACTCCAGACCTGATGAGCCAGGAAGATGGCAAAAAGTGGATGTACTCCTTGAAGAGTGGGAGATGGGTTAAAGGAAGTACAGCAGGAGGAAGTCTGGGATTCTATAACGGTGAGGGGTGCTCTTTTGGATAACTCTGACTTTTGGATGTTCTGCTGATTCAGTTAACAGCTTCTTATAACCTCTTAACATAAAATTGATGACAGAAACATGCACTTCCTGTTTATGCCTCCACACAAACATCAGAAATTAGCAGCTGAAGGACTTTGACTGGCTTCTGCTATCACAGAAGATGCACTGCTTGCAAACATAGGGCAGTGGGCTGATTATAGCATGAAATAAGCTTTAGGATCCCAGGATCAATCGCCAGCACTGATCTGCTCTAGGGCATTAAACTTGTCTGTTAAAATTTGCATCCTCAGCATCTCCAGGGAGTGTGTTTTAAGTAAAGTGAATAAAATAGTCAGAGGCTCAGCTCTTCTGGAAGCAGAGCAGGTGGAGTCTAAAGTCAGCTAGCCTATACACCAGGGCTGAGAGAGGAATGGTGATACATTTATAAACAAAATGAGCTCTTAGTTGCATGTAAGCAGAAGTGTAGTTCCTTGTTCATGGGTCTTTCTCCTATCTTAGATAGTAGTTGCACTGCTAAACTTGTAAACTGCACCTTAAAATCAAATTCCTGTGGGGTCTGGAGATCCAGACAACCTGGATTGCCAGTCCAGTGGGAGGACTGGCAATCAATTTTGTGATGGAAAATGACATCAAAATGTTTTTCTTATTTTACTTAGGCAACTTTTGGATGAACCCTCAGTACTGGCTGAATGTGCTGCCAGCTGAAGACAGCAAGAAGAGCCCAAGCACGTGCAGTGTGGTTATATCCCTCATGCAGAAACACAGCACCAAACACCGGAACCGAGCCCCTCACCTTTTCATTGGATTCTTACTCTATAAGGTGCAAAGAATTCCTTTGCTTTTCTTGCTCTCACCAAACAGGAGAACTTCCAGCCCATGTAGATTGTAGTGCTCTGCAGGCCACGAGTTTTTGTGGTGTGCAGAGTGATCTCTGCTCTTTCCTCCTGCCTGTGCCCAGTCTCCTCACACATCAGGGCTGGGCTCCCTGGGGCTCTGTGCCCTGCTTGCTGCTTCTCCAGCAGGCTGTGTGTCACCCTTCAGAACAGTGAGAAGGGTCTTTTGCTTCAAAGCACTGTGGGATTTATTTTGCTGCCTCTGAGGGTATGTGCAATAGCTGGAAGAGGGTGTCAGGAGCCCCCTTACTTTGGGATAGGAAGAGCTCTGCCCTCAGGTTATTTCCAACCATGGTAAAATTGTGCCTAAAAAGTGTTCCTAGTATGATGTGGCAGCTGCTCATGTGTGCATACTGCACTCCCCATATACCCAGAGGTGAGTGGATATCACTAGGAGTGAGAGTTTCCTACCTTCAATTCTCTGCTTATCTGAGTACCTCGAGGGCCACTCTTCTCCCCTGAACAGAGCCACAGGTCTGGTTGCTGCTGTAAGCTTGCCCAGTTATGGAGAGATGACTGTGGGGGACTTTGGGTGGAGGGGCTGAGGTTTCTGAAGGCAAAGACCCCATAGAGATGTTTGTAGCTGCTCTGCTTCCCAGGAATGACTTGGCTGTGTTTGGTGAGGCACAGAGCTCCTGACTGACAGATGCTGTTTCTTTTCTTCCTGCAGGTGGGCCTACAGGTGAGTCCCTTGTCACCACTGCTGCCTGTTTTGTCTGAGGGACCTGGGCTGGCACAGCTGTTAAGACAATACTGAATGTGGTGTGTTTGCCTTTGTTCCTTGGCTGACAGTGAGTGCCAGCATTGGAATTCAGTGAGGCACAGCAAGGCAGAACCATCCTCTGACTCTCCTGAAAAGCAGCCATATCAGGAGAGCTCACTGGCCTTGAGAGTGGGCATTAGTTGTTCAGCTTCTGTCCTGGGTCTTCAAAGGTATTAGAAGTAGCATCAACCTTTACCTGATGAGCACTTCAGCCCTGCTGCAGTTGTTGGATGGTGCCCCAATTCTTGGCTGTGTTCGGAGTCAGAGCTGCCTTTCTGCAGCTTTCCAGTCTTGGCATGAGGTGGGAAAAGAGCCTGTGCCCCATGGGAGTCAAAGGTCTCCTGGGGAGCTCAGGTTCCTGGCTGGCTGATGGTACAGGTGTTTTAAGCTTCCTCAGGTCAGCTGCATTTCTAGCATTTTCTTTATCCAAGAGCCTTTGGGACCTGAGAAAGGGCCCTGGAACTTAAATCCTGATTAAGTCCCGATTTTGGCTCTCACCTCAGAGGGATATTTAAAACAGGGAAAGATGTAGCTCATATTGTCTTAAAAGGGCATATCTTCCACTCTGTTACTACTCAAATGACAGCACACCTCTTAAATGAGAAAGTGGGCTGGCAAAGAACTAGTTTGGGTATGTTATATGGGCAGCACAATTGTGCTCCTAGTTATTGTAGACCCAGCATGGTAACCATGAGGTAAGATACCACTCCTTCCTGACTTAAATATCTTGGGCACTATCAGGATTACCTTCAAGGTAAAATTTCTGGTGGAGGAGGTCTGAGTGTGGCCCCAGGACAGGCTCTGCCACACCTGAGTGGGAATGGGGGCAGCCAGAACTTCAATTTCAGGTTTGTAGTGGTTGCCAAGATCAATACAGAGAGATGGCAAGCTGAGAGCATCTGAGGTATTGGAACTGCTGTCAACAGAGTATTGACTGGAATATAAAAACTTTGAATTTAACATAAGGGGCATGAGGAGGAGTAACCCTGAACCCTTCATAAGAAAGATTGCCCTATTAGTAAGAAAAATACTGGCAAAGGAAGAGGAATAGCATCTCCCCATGAGGCTGCACAGTAAAATGGCTAAATGTTTTGAGGAACAGCCAAGATCAGAAGGTGACAGTAGTTTTAGCTAGCAGGATTATTTATTGGGATTGGTACTGGGCACTCAGTGGCATTAAAATTAGTTTCATGTTGCCTGGATCAACACTTTATCCATCATCCTGTGGCAGAAAAGGGCCTGCAGAGCAAAGAGTGCCAGACAGATCAAGGACACTTGCATGAAGTCAGGATGAGGGCTTAGGTTGCTCATGCAGTATGTTCAGATCGCAGGTCTTCTGAAAAATCCTCTGCTACCAGATCCCTTGTGCAAAGGACAAGCTGGGGACAAAGTGTGTGGTCCCTGTGGGAGAAGAGGTGTTCTGGCTAGTGAGGGGCAGTCTGTAGAGCTCCTGCCTGCAGCCATTTTAGCCCATATGGCAAAGACTTTTGCAGAAGCCACATTGACAGGAACAGCTCCTCGTCCCCAGTTCTTGTTGCTGTTCCTTACAAGTAGTGTAAGGTTTTTTTTATAAGTTGCAGGAAGCCCAGTCTTTTGCCATATTAGTATAGGGCAAGTGTGGCATTCACATTCTCTGAAAAAATCCCTTCACCCAGGATTTTCTCTTGGGAAGCTGAGAAGCCTCAGAGAAAAAGGAAAGCAATTCTTATCTCATTTGCTTCTCCTGTGTTGTGCTCCCTTGGAATGTGTTTGGAGATTGTTTACCCACAGGTGATTGTTTCATTGGATTCTGATGTGAATTGTTTTAACTCTCTGACCAATTGGGGCCAAGCTGTGTCAGGACTCTGGAAAGAGTCATGAGTTTTTATTATTATCTTTTTAACATTGAGTAAGTATCTTTTCTGCATTCTTTAGTATAGTATTCTTTAATATAATACAGTATTATAAAGTAATAAATTAGCCTTCTGAGAATATGGACTTGTGTTCTCAGCAGGCTAATTCATGTCCATCATGAACATGGAGCCAGATGCATCATTGCTGCCTTGGTCAGGGCATTCCCTGTGAATACAATAGGCAAGGGTGCTGCATAGTGAGAACCACCATGTCCTGGGAAGAGACTGAGTCCTTTGGGCTCTGTTACCTGCTTGTGCTGTAAAACAGGCTGAGATGTGAAGGCAGGCTGGCTGTGCCCTGCCCATGAATCCTCCACACCTTTTGTCCACACGTTCAGCTGTGGCAGAACACGATTCCCTTACCTTTCTTCCCTGAGCAGTACCAGGAGAGCAACAGAAAGCTGCCCCCGGGTTTCTTCACCCGACATCAGCCTGTGAACAAGCACCAGGTTTTCCTTGATGAGCGGGAGGTGACTCATGACTTCCATCTGGAGCCTTGTGTCTACGTCATTGTCCCCTCCACCCTGGAGCCTCAGCAAGAGTCTGAGTTCATCCTGCGGGTTTTCTCCAGGAAGCACGTCCTTCGGTGAGATGCTGCTGCCCCTCATTCCCTGGGAAAGTCTGGTCTTTCTACCCTAATGGGAGCAGCAAAACTTAACTCTGCAAAAAGCAGCACAGCCTCTTTCAGAGAAGCTGGCTCATCCTGCCAGGATTCTCAGTGGTTGAACCACTGGGTTTGGCCTTATCCTTTCAAAAAAGGCTGAGATAGGCCCACACAATCCTTGCAGCATGGACATGTTTGAGACTGTGAGAAGGATAAGAGCTCTTTAGCTTTTTAGTTCCATTAGTTTGCCAGGAACTCCCTGCTGGCAATGCTAGGATGGTTGCTTGTACAGAAATGGGTGCTTTGGATACTTCAAATGCCAGCAGCTTTTGGGGTCCTGTGTGGATATGTGGCCTTGCCTTACTGCAGCTGTAACACCAGAGAATAAAACGCACAAGAGCAGGTTGGGGCCCCATCCAAGGAAGAGGAATGACACTTGTGGTGAGACACACAACTCTGAGATCTGTCCTTAAAGTGTCTGCTTTTTTACATCTCCAGGGAAATGGGTGGGAACACGAGCTTCACGCTCTCTAAGGTGAGTGGGTGTGAGGGGAGTGGGGGTCTGTGGTTCAATCTGCAGCTCTGAATGTTGGATTTTTACTGTTGCTCTGCCCTAGAGGAGAGGCTGAGTGAGAATGTCAGTGCTTGTGCTGCAGCACTTGAAAGTACATTTTGGGTTTACAGATAGAATCCTTTGGACCAAGGGGTCAGATGCAATCAAATGTGGGGGACAGGTAAAACTTGAGACAGCTTAGTTGCCCTGTTTGCAAACTTCTTTTAATGATACCATCTTGCTTGCTCTGAAGTCTTCCCTGTTAATGGCTTTTTGGAGACTCATGGTCCATTCTTGCACTTCTCCCCATTCCTTTCAGGCCTTAAACATTTTGGAGACGTGATGGGACCTTAGCTCTACTACTCCCATGCAATGGCCTAAAGGTTATTTTCAAAAGAACTGATCTCAGTGGCAGTGCATGCACATCTGCAGCTTGTGCTAGGAAATTTATGGCATAGTCTGTTCCCCTGGCATAACCAGGGCCTTTCCTGCCTTCATCTCCTCTGTTGGGCTGTATAAAGCAGAACAGAGACCCTTCTCTCACAGAGTGAGCCCCATGCTTTGCACAGCTTGGGGTGGGGTGAGATGAATATTTCTCCCCACTAAATGCTATCTGAGTATTTCTCTCCAAGAAATAGCAGTTTTGTAATGTAGGGAGGTATCTTAGCAATGGGCTGTATTAGTGGTGTAACATTGATTGCAGAGGTGGGCAGAGGGTGGAAGGGGCAGGGAATGGAATGGAATGGAATGGAATGGAATGGAATGGAATGGAATGGAATGGAATGCTGGGAAAGCATCTTTAATAATTTGGTTGACAATATTTTTCTTCTGCAAGATAATGATTTTTTTTTATATCCTAAAGGAAATTGTTGATAGGTATGAAGGCAAGATTTGGGAGGATTTCTTCACAAAGCATTTTGAACAGGTAAGTGCTTGCTTGAGTAAACTCCTCCAGAGCTATTATGTAGCTCTGTGAAAGTAAAAGCATGTGGATGTGTGGGGAGCAGAGAGGGGCTATGGAGAGGAGGTTGGACTCTGTGGACAGTGATGACTCCACACAGCAAATCTGCCTGTGAAGCTTAGCAATGTGAAGGCATTGAGACAGGCGCACTGCTCTGCACAACAGGGAGTCAGTGCCTGGAACTTAATGTGAATGTGACAGTATCAAGAGGCTCAAAAGGCTTTAGGAAACTGATGGGCCGAAGGTCCATAAACAAATGCTAAAGGACTGAGCAGGGATGTACCCTCTAAGATCACTTTTCCAACAGGGAAACAGCAGAATGGACTACAGTAGCTGACCAGGTTCACATGCTCTCCCTAAACATTAATTCCTGTTTTCTGTATTGGGGACAAAGTGATGGGCTGTGTGGCTCCTTCCTATCCTTTGGGGAAAGCTGTCTATTAGAGAACACCCCTGAAATATTGAACCTTGTCTCACACATAATTCATCACAGTTGGATGGCAACTAACCTGCTCTGAGATGTGAAATAGATATCAGGTGTCCTATCATCTTTTCCCCCTAATTTTCCTAGTGAAATATGATCCTTGCTGTGAAAGATTCTTTTTAGTGATTTCTCTGGCCTGATTTGGGATGGAGCTGACCATCAGGGATCCCACTGACTGTGATGAGGGATGCAAGTGTTTCACCTCTCAGAAAAGGTCATTGTATTTATTTAGCATCATACCCTGCATTTGGCAAACACAGTTTCACAAAAAACAGATTTGCACTTTTAATAGGAATATCTTGAAGGAAGCTGTTGCTAAAAACAAGGAGTGCTTTCACTTTTTGCCCCTTGTTTATGATTTTGGATTTGAGAATGGTGTGGCTTTGATGTGCTAGAAATTGCCACATACTGTGAGGTGCTGGTCCTTTGCTGTCAGGATGTCCAAGTACACACAGAGCACCTACTGCTATTTCTGAAGGCTTTACCCTGGCATCTCTCAATGTTCTGAAAGCAGGTTTTTATTTTTGAAGAGTGACATTTAAAAAAACCCTCCAAACAAATGATTTTCACAGCTTCTAAAAGTTTTATGAATTTTAGTATGACAAGGGGGAGGGGAAGTCTCTGCTTTGAAAAGTTTGGGGAGAAGTATTCCAAAGTTTCAGGTTGGTTTGTTTGTTTGTAAATGATAAAAGGGGAATGTTTGAAGCAGATCTCTTGACAGTGTGCTTGATGGGACAGATGGCACCAGGGCTGAAAGGCCTGAATCCTCACTCAGTGGAAATCTGCACTGCTCTGTGTGGAGCCCTGAGAATTTAGCCCAGAGCACACTGCAGCTCCTGCAGGCTCAGAAACTTGTCATATTCAAAGGGAATCTTTTATATCGATTTTCACAGTGGCTGGAGTGGGGCCAGAAAAGCAGAGAATGAAGATGGGGCATGCTGGGAAAACAAAAGAGGGAGAAAAGTGATTTAATACTTAGGGGGGAAAAAAACTAAAATTCTCTTCCATATCACAGAATCCTGAAATAAATGCTGTTCAGCTCCAGAGGATCTTGAATAATATATCTTGGAGAAGTAAGTGCTGAGAAATAATGTTTCTGTAAAATAAGCTCTCTCAGAGAAAAGCTTCAGCTTCTGTATCTATTGCTTGAATTCTGGGAAGAGAAACTGGCTTCAGTCTGACTGAACTGACTCTTCTGATGCCATGTTAGATTTCCAGAGCTAAAGGATTTGCTGGGGTGTGAATCAATATGGCAGAAATGTTATGAGCAGAGCTAATCTAGTTTGAATTTCAACAACTGAAATAATGAGGGAGGAGAGCAAGCATGGATGCAGATTCTTAATTTGGCCTCCAAACCCAGCTTGACCTCAGCTTTGATTCTGAAACTGTGTCTCATTTCAGCTTTGATTCTGAAACTGTGCCACTGCCTCAGCAGCACCAAAGTAGAAGATGTGGAATTCCTGGTCTGTAGGAGTTGGTGTGGTGGAGAAGGGTCTTGCCTTTAATTGCATTGCTTGGTGCATGCTGCTGCTCCTGTTTACTCCTCCCTGCTGTGCAGGCATAGGGCTGCCCCTTGCTCTGCGTGTGGGGGACAGGATGAGGTACAGGTGGGAACTGATGTCTGTGAGAGCCAGGTGAGCCCTGGGCTGGTCCTCTCGTGTTGGCATCATTCTGCTGGGGGCAGCCCAAAGCACTCCACAGGTTTGTAATTTGGACTTGGGAACAAATAACACCACCTGGGCAGCAGTGAGGCATTGCAGTGGCTGTTCTCTCTGGACAATGACAGTGAAATTACAGATATAATGATGAATACAGATTTTTTTCCTGGTTTCTTTACTGGTAACAATCAATATGCGACATAGAAAATGCTCTGTTCAGCCATTACAGGCAACAAAGAAGATGGTCAAAAGAGTGATGTGATGCCTTTTTCACTTAAACTGAATTTGATATTACTCTCTTTTCTGCAAAAGTGGGCAAGAATAGTTCTTCTGTCTTTGTAAACTGACCCACCAGGCTCTCTCTTATTTGTGAGAAAGCAATATTGAACAGGGAGTCTTTACTTTTAATAAATTATTGATTTTAATAATTATTTTCAAATCTTTACAGTACCTGGTTCATATTTACTAAACAGGGCTATTACATTATTAAAATTATTAAAGCATTGTGACTTCCTGCAGAGAAGGGATTGGTGAGTTATGGTTCTGCCCCTTACTCAGTGGAAGGGGCAGACCAACTGTAATCATGATTTGCAGTGAGATTAGAGCCTATTTCTGTTCATGTAAGTTGTATATGAACCAGGAATGCTAAGCTTTGAGGCAGCAGCATGTTTTCAGCAGTGCCTGTACTTTTAATTATATTAACAGAGCTGGCAGCGTGTCTGTGAAAGAGAGGGAGAGAGAGATGCTCAGTACAAGGGTTTCAATTAATCTGCAGTGCTGTTCCCCAAAGCTCTTCAGGTCAAGTGACTTTGCTCAAGGTCATGCAGTAAATTCTGTTTGGGATTAGAGCTTTGGATGTCCTTTTCCTTCCATTTTCTCTAATAGCTGGAGATAGTGTACCATATTTCATTCTATATTACATGCCTGCAGGGAGCTCATATTGGATTTTCTGAGACTAGTAGAATCCATCCTGTTGCCTCATATTTTTATCATCATAAATGATACATCTTCTCAAGTGGGTGTAACGTTTCACAAAGGCTTTGGGGCCTGAGCCCTCTCAAGTAAGGGGGGATTTTGTGAGTCCATTTTTCTGAGAGATGTCCAATGACTCCCCAAACCAATTTTTTTTTTCTCTCCAGATTTCCAGAGTTTTCGCCTGAATTTCAGTCTGGATTCCTGCCAGGGCATCTTGGCACTCCTGGATGTATCCTTGCCATGAGTGATACTTCTGACTCATATAATACTTTACCAGAGCATTATTTCTTAGGCCAGACTGGGTGTTACTGTGATTTCTTTACCACCAGGACATGACCCTGCCTATTGAACTTCTCACCCTCCATAATAACAGTTCAGCTGTGACAGAATGGAGCTGCTTTGGGAAAGGGTTGATTCCTGCTGCTTCTAAAATCAGCAGCCAGGTTTCCTTTGACTTTAGTGGGATGAGGATTGAGTCTATAAATAGGCATATGGGCTAAGAAATCATTATTCTCATATTATAATTGCATGGGTGTTATAGTGGCTGTAAGTTTTTGGTTTGTTTGGGTTTTTGGTTTGGCTTATTTTTTCTTTTTTTCATTTTTTAATATATGTAATGGGTGCTTTCTAATGCTTGAGATGTTTTGACCTTAATGCCCCCACTAAGCTGAATGCCACTGGCACACTGAGTATCCAGGAATTCAGAGTCCTGTGGAAGAGGCTGCTTTTCTATTTGGTATGGCAGTAATTTCTATGCTCCTTTTCAATACCTCCCTACTCACAATCCCTTTGATGTCACCTGCTGGGTTTTGGGTGCTTTGGTTTGTTTAAAAGTAGTCCCTCACCCCACAGGAAGTTTTCCAGAAGAGAGACACCAAGAGATCAGGGAAGCTTGACCTTGTGGAACTGCACGCAGCTGTACAGGAGACAGGTGAGCCCACAGCATGTCTTGGCAAGTCTCATCTTCTTGCTCATGAAAGCTGAAGAAAAAGCACAGGGCTGGGAAACATCTTGATAACTGTGTGTAGAGCTCAGGAGGAGAGGAAAACATTATAGTTTGCATGGCCTTGGCTGTGTCATCTTCCTTCTTTAGTTGGGTCAACGTGGCTGAAAGTTACTTTGCCATGTGACAGGCTGCCCACTCTTTTCTCAGTGTGGTCTCACACTGAGACTTGTCTGAAACAGAAGTGTCTGCCTATTTCAGATCCAATTTTTAAAGCCCTTCCTGTGTGTTGCTAATTGAATTTTAAAAGATTTTGTGGGGTTGTGGGGATGCAGGAGGCCAGATCTAGCTCCTATTAAATTGCTGCTTCTGATGAAAACGACAGCTCAGGGACCAAAACTGGAAGTGTGAGACTTGCACGGAGGCTAGATTGTTGCTAGACTTCACTAATGCAGTGTCTGAGGCTTGATCCAGAAATGGAAGATGATCCATATGGGTCCAAATACTGGACTGAGCTCTGCTGCTATTACTGGGCACTGTGTGGGGGCTGGAGCTCAGTCTTGTAGCTTCCTTTGCATATTTACACCTTAAATATCATTCCTCTTTTTGGTGCATGTTCACCCAGCTCATCTGAGTCAGTGAAAGCACAGTGAGAAACCTGGGCAGACCTCTGCTAAAGCAAACTAAAATCCCAGGCCATGAATAGAGAATGCTTTTGTTCCTTGCAAATGCTGCTGCTGCTGCCTGACGTTTGGACTGATGCTTTCTGTATGAGCTTCCTCTGGATTTTCTTTTTCATCTCCTTTCCTACCCTCTTGGGAATATTGCTCCTAAATCCAGCTGCTGCTATTACCCTCATTTCCCATGATCAAAAGAGGCCTATTTGTATTTTATTTCAACTCTGGAAGGACTGTAAGTATAGGGGAGCAGACCCCAACCCTTTCAAATTTAGAGAAGATATCTTCATGTAGAAATCTCATTTGGGCTGGCTAATATTTGATTATCTTAGGCCAGGCTTGAAAAACAAAGCTGTTGGAGAAGGGATGAAGACCATTCAGTTGTGCCATCTCATTCTGTGTTCTTCCCCCCCCCCCCCATTTTATGTAGGCATTTCACTCAGCAATGAAGTCTGTAATTTGATGGCAATCAGATATGGTGACCCTGACTTACAGATCAGTTTTGAGAGCTTTGTTTGCTTCATGCTTCGAGTGGAGATCATGGGAGGTGAGGCTGGTGCTCGGTGTCTGGCCAGGCAAGCTGGGCTCCCAGCTGAGCCATGGCCCCTCTGATGCTGTTCCCACTGGCAGTGGCAAGGGGGAAAATTTCAGGACTGGAATTCTGAATAAAGCAAGAGTAATCGGTTTAAAGCAAGGGACAGATACAGAGGAAGCCAAGTTCTCTCTTTACCTCCCCAGCAGTCCCTTCCTACAGACATCCAAGCTGTACACATCAGTGATTCAGCTCTCTGCACATTTGCACTGGCCTTCTGTAGGAAGAGGAAATTACAGACAAAAACTTGTTTTCCATGAAGACAACCTTGAAATGCACCTTTTCCAGGAAAAAGAAAGTTTTGAAATATGTCTTTGGTGGGCTGCAGTTTGATGATGAAAGAGCTGATAGTCAGGCCATGCTGCAGACACTTAGCACTTGTCTCATAATTGTAGTGGGTAAGGTTGGGACCCACCAGCATTTTGGGGTTTTACAGATGGATGGGCAGACAGTAACATGCCTGACTTTATTCAGCTGCTCCCAGTGCTCCAGCCTTCAGGGATTTCCAGGGACAGAACAGAGAAGCTCTGCACTTGGGAATAGCCTACAAACTCTGCCTTTGGGGTTTTTCCTGAGAACAGTGCCTTGGCTGTGGTGATGTCTTGGCTGCCAAGTTAATGCTCCTTATTTGCTTTTTTTTGCAGAGGCCTTTCGCAACTTAACCCAGGATGGCAAAGGGATTTACCTCCGGGAATCCGAGGTAAAGCCCACCCCTGACTGGCACTGCAGGTCCCTCTGTTCCATGTGGCACTGCATGGTTTATTCTGTAGCCTTGAAAAAGGTATCTTTGACCAGGGCAGGTTGCAAACAAGGAGTTTGAGGCTTCTGTCTTCTGCTTTATTATGGCTTCTATTTCTGCTAGAGGCAGAATACCTTCAATGCCCCATACTCCAGTCTCAGTGTGAATATGGCAGGGCTTTCACAGGGATGGATTATTTCAACCCCCTTTCCATATCATTTTCAGTGGATCATGATGACACTTTATTCCTGAAGCAATGCTGTAGAGGAGGAGACAACCAGACCTGAACCAGGATGAGGAAGGCTGCCTTGTTTCAACTTTTTACTTCATATGAAAAGTCTTCCTCAAGCAGACTTAACATGATAACCACAGACTTGGTGAAGTTTTACTGATTAATGTATTTATTTTGAGTCCTATTTCACTTCAGACAACCCTACTGAAGAGAGACCATTGGATGCCAGTTGCCATGAGTGCACAGTGTGACACCCTGGAGTGTGGTGGCTGTTTTTGGGGTCACCAACTTCATGCTGAAGTAATGCTGCTGTTATAGGCACACAGTGTGGCAGTGCCCAAAGGCTGTGCTTGGTGGTGGGGCTCTTAAATCTGGGAGGGAAAAGGCCCTGTCCTGAGTAACTTGTCACCTGATAGAGGGATCACAGTTCTGTAGCTGCTAGGCCCATGATAGAGAGCTGGAATCTGTGACATTCTGAGAAAGAAGAGGTGAAGACTCACACTCTTCCCTAGCCCTGATTTGGAAAGGTGATTTGCAAGTGTTCAGACCATCTCTTTTGCTTTTATAAATTGACATAGCCCTAATGAAATGGCCCTAATTTGATTTGACCAAGTGATGAGCTGACCCTCCAGCTGTTTGTTGTATGTTGATTGTATTTATTTGACGATTGTATTTATTTCAGAAAGGCAGTGAGTTTTCTCTGCAGATTGAAAAAGTACAGCACAGTGAAAAGTAAACTGATCCCATATTAAGAGACTGGCAGGGAATGAATGTTCTCAGTAGGGTAATATCAAATACAGGATTGTCTGATAAAATATTTGGATATTTATTTTCTACAGCGTGAGCGTGTGTGTGTACTTCTGAAAGATGCAGGTAAATGTAGGCTGTAGCTAATTAAATAGTACAACCCAGGTGTGTGGCTGTGAGCAGTGTTAGAGAGCATGGTGTAAGTGGGACTATTCACATCAAAATCCATGAGAGAGTTACTTGATGCATCTGTCTGTAGGATCCTTTTCCACTTTCTTACCATTCATTTATTTGGGCTGGAAATTTCTATGCTAAGTGACTGTTACAGGTTGCTGCTTTGATTTTTTTCTTTTTTTCCCCCCTTTTTTGCATTCCTGTAGACAGCTCAATTGAGGCTCTTTTACAGTGCACAACCCAGTCTGAGTCTGGGTGCTAAATGAAACAGAGCTCCAATGGGAATGAACATGTAAGGAAAGATCACACTCTAATACCTTTGTAGGAAGGAGTTATATTAAGCTTGCATAGGCAGCCTTCCCTCTGGCTTTTGGTGACTTTTTAGGTGCTTAATCTCATAAATATTTTTTCAGAGTGCATGTGATATTCAGGAATGAGGTGGACTGCGGGTAAGAAAGTAAACTTGGGCATGGCTGAGCTCAGGGATGTGCTCACCACTGCACTGAGGCCTGAGCAATAGCATAAGCATATTTATAGAGGAACTCCTTTGCATATAAGTGTTCCCAGTCAAGAGGCATTAAGCAGTAAAAACAACAGCATGCACTTTATTCCCCAGAACAGTCTGTTTCTAAGCAATATCATTTTCATCCTGTTTTTTATGAGAAAACTGTTAGAACCAGATAAATAGATGGCTGTGTTGGTACTTGTTTATTACAGATGATATATCTATCATCTATTGGGAGCGACCTGCTGTGGAGTCACAGGGTTCAGTCTGTGGGGTGGAGCAGAGCAGGTTGGAGGGAGCAGGGACACCCAGGGCCCCTGGAGCAGCTCTCTGTCCCACTGGGCTCCCAAAGAGGCTCCCGAGGAGGCTCCATCAGCAGCTCCCCTCTCAGTGCACGTCTCTGTTTCCTTTTGTGACTAGCAGCTGAACATGATGGTGCAAACTAAATTAGCCTGATTTAATTTGCACTCAGCTCAGCAGGGGATGTTATAAACACTGATTTACTGTGTGCAGGAGCAGCGTTGGGAGAACCGAAAGCGTTGATTGAGGGAGCGTAGGTCCCGCTTTTCTCAGCGTGTTTTGGAAAGGATGGTCCCTGTCACCCATGGGAGCATCCAGGGGATCTGTGTGAGTGCAGAGTGTTCACAGCAGGCTCTGTTGGACACGATGGGAGGGAAATCTCTCAGTCTCAGCTGGGTTTGTTGCACATTTAGGGCTGGGAGTGTCCTGGACATGGCTCCACCACAGGCTGTGTGCAAAACTGGTGCAGGACACCCAGTTTCACGTTGCAGTTCATTTTAATGTTGTACACATTGTTTTTTCTATCAGGTTTTGTACTTATTTACTTCACACCTCTTTAATGCAGAGTGATGTAATTGCAGGGAGATTATTTTGCTATTGATTACTTGATCCAGGAAAGAATCAGAATTCATCCATGCCATGAATCACTAAGCATTTGCAGCAATAAACTTTATTGAGCCATGTGACTTGCTGTTACAAAATTGTAAAGAATCCTTTACTGGAATGATTATACCAAACCATGTACAATTCAAACTGAATTATCTGGCTCACAATAAAATGTTTTTGGCAAGGGCACCTACTCGGACACTGTGAAGCTTTTATATTGCTAACAGAATAATGTTTTCTGGGCAATTCTGAAGATATATTACTCCTCATTTTCAATGTGCATTGTGAAAAAAATGGTCTGAAATGCTTCTGAAGGATGCATTCGTTTGTAACCACAGCATTTTCAGGGATGCTGAGCTGTGCAGTGGGTGGTATTGCTCTAGCAGAAATGAAAGAAAAGTGGGACTATGGCTTGAGACTAGTATTGCTAATAAAAGTCCTTTTTGAAAAAGGCAGGTGCAAGAATAGCAAATAATGTCTGGAGTGGGAAGAGGAGATGGATGGTGAGGTATATTGTAACAATAAGACTGAGATGAAATCGAAAGGAACTAATCAACCCTTTGCAAACAAAGTCTTCAGCTAGAGCTTATTGCTGCAAATACACACACCTGAAGTATTTCATGTTTCCTGGATAGAGCTGGTGTGCATGTTGAGGGTACAGCAGACACCAGTCAGCCTCACTGCTCACGTGCATTCTGCATGATCAGGGCTTCTGTCTAGATGGCAACAGGACAAGCTCCACTCTCAAACCTAACAGGACTCCAAAAGATCTGAGACTTACAGGAATGACAAGCAAAGCTGGAGAGGTCATGGCTACAGTGAAGAGCTGTGGCAGTTTTAGGCAAAAAGGGGAAGAGTTGTCCTCTGGGGACAAATAACCACAAGGCAAATCACCCCCAAGGTCATGGGCTCTTGTCCTTAGGCAGCCAGGGATGGCCACCCTAGAGATACCAAGCTGGCCCAGGTTTGAGATAGAAAGTCACCTTTCTGGGTAACAATTAAATGCTGTTGGGACACTGCATTGTAATTCTCTGTCTGAGGTCACACCTTGCCTTTTACCCATTTTACAATGGGGCCACCAGGACTTCTGCCTTACTAAAAGCACATTGCAATCCTTTGCTAAGAGGCATTCTGTTCATGCAAGTGGCTACTGCACTATCAAAGCTGTCCAAGCTGTGTCAGCAGGCTTTGATCACACCACAAGATGCTCTGTGTGGAATGAATAATGTTGCTTTGGTTTTGATTATTAAGCAGTACATGTAATCCTAACTCCATGACCCACAAATGGACCTCTAAAGGGCAAGTTGTCATTGGATTGGCACCATAAAAATGAGAACTTTTGAAGCTTTTAGAAGGAAAAGCCTGTTTCCAGGGGCAGATGGTGCCTGAAAATTCTCCACAGTGCAAAGTGTCCCGCTAGTGCTGACGCCTTTGTATGAGGCAGTGGTGGGATGAAGAGAGCATGGGGACATGGAGTCAAAGCCACTGCTAAATCCAAGTGTCCACCAGTCCTCAGTCACCCACTCTCCAGTTCTACACCCCACCAGGAGACTCAACAATGGGATTTCAAAATTTGCAAACCTAAAGTCTTGTTTTATTTCCTCTGTGAGCTGCTCAGGTCAATGTTTCACGGAAGGCTGTGGAGACTTTTCTCCTAAAGTTAGTGTTGCTAGACTCTGGTTGAATGCAAACCTGTGCTCCAGTGTGGAAGAGGGTGAAAAGCTGGAGTGTGATACAGAGGAATGATATTTTCATCATTATTCAGAAAACTGAAGGGCAAAAATCCCCTTTGTTAATATTTGCAGTGCCGGGGGAGAAAGATCAGGTCCCCTGGGTGATGGCTGCTATGTGACACAAGAGCAGGACTTGCTATTTACTTAGAAAATAAATACTTCTGCAGTTCCCAGTGGGAGTGATCTGTATTCAGCCTGGGGCTCTGTTAAGAGATAAGATTTGACCTGACCTGAGCCTCCTGAGGTCCTCCTGCCTTTGCATACCCCAGCATGGCTGCTCTGTAATCCTGCTGCTGGGAACTGCATTTTTCCCATAGGCAACGCTTCATTCTTGTTGCCATCCAGGAGCTCAAATTATGACCCCATCCCCAAGGTTTGGGGCTTGGCAAGAAGCCAGTGATCTCTGAGTAGTTCTTTTGCACCTCTCTCTGCACATACACCCCCACATATTCCTGTGAACCTCATGCCACCTTCCTTAAGAACTGTTGCAATGCTGTGGTGAAAACGAAGATGAAAAAATTTATTTTTTTTCCCTCCCCTGCTCAGGGAGCAGCTCCTAGCAGAATGAAATGCTAACGAGTGCCTTTGCCTTTCCTTCCTGCTGTGTCTTACACTGAATTAGACCTGAAAAGCAGTATCACCAAGCTTGAAGTTCAATTTATCA